AAAAAAAAAATTAAATATTATATCCCATTTTGCGATTGTTTCTTAAGTGATAACTCGATAAGTCGCCAACCATTCTTGGCCTTTTTAATTTTTTTCCACCTGCCTAATTTATGTTCTTGACCAATACCTGCCAAAAGAAATGTCTTATTATCAATAGTTGTAGTTATAAATTCCAAAGCGTTAACAAATCCTATCATAGGAATTTCAGTTAAAAGTGTAAAAGAACGAATATTATTTGTCAATTTCCAAAGACGAATTTTTCCATCCCATGATCCTGAAGCAAAAAGATCCGAATACCGCAAGGTAGCCAAAGCGGTAATCCAATGCGGAGATTTAATGGAACCTTCGCTTTCCGATTCAAACTCTTGTAAACCATGTGAAAGTTGATTTACAAAAACTGGTTTCTTTTTGTTAATGTTCCATAAACATATAGCCCTTGAAAATGTGACAAAAAAAATTAAAATAAATTAATATAAATTTAAATGAAATGTAAAAATAATTATAAAGATTTGCTTACCCACTATCCCCTCCACTGAGGTAATTATCTTCGTCAATCATAGCCACAACATCCAAACTTCCTTCCTTAAATATTTGTCCGTTATCTGATGTCGCTTCCTTAGTAACGCCACGAAAGACTAATTGAGACTCCTCAATTATCTTCCATAACCTACACGTTCGATCTCGTGCCCCAACAGTAACACAACGTTCACGATAAAGAGTATCAATTGCCATAACTTGGTCTTGATGTCCAAATCTAAATTCAAAAGTTATTATTATAAAAAAACGCACTATTAATCATTATATATATGTTGTAACTGAGATGTCATCTTTGACTCAGGTGTCACCCTTTGACTAGAATTATAGAACTGGCTTATGTAGATCCTATGTAGATCGTTACAACTTCAGCCAACCCTAACCCTGGTCAGTTGACATAAGACATCTGAGGCACAACATATATATATATATATATTAGAATTACAAAAGTATTTACAGTGTTTCTATATAACTCATTTCATCAACATTCCAAAGCTTTATTGTACGATCTAAAGAAGAGCTATATAGTTGATTATTTCCTTTACGAAATATGAGTCCCTATTAAATTGAAAAAATGATAAATTAATTTCTAGGATATCTAGTGCTCTTTTAAAAAATATAAGAGATATATACCGTTACTGAATCTTTATGTTGCATAAAACATTTTAATAACTTATTTTCCTTTGTAGACCAAATATTAATCTTCTTATCCCTGCCTCCACTTGCCTGTATATAAATATATCAAAATTATTTATTTTATTATTTATGATATTAATATTTACTAATATTTAAATAAATATAAAAAATTTACCAGATAATTTCCATCCGAGCTCACAGCCAAAGCTAAAATTTGATTCGTGTGACCATCGAATTTTTTTATTTCTTTTCTACCCCCAATAATAGAGTGTAATTTTTTACCGGTTTTAACATCCCCTTAAAAATATATTTAAGAAAATTTATGATGAGAGAATTCAATACAAATTATAATCTATTTAAAATGCTAAAAATTTTTTTTAAAAAACATACATTTTATTATAGAATGATCCTTAGATCCTGTATAAAAGAATTGCCCGGATTCATCACATGCTACACATGTAATAGAAAGTTCTTGACGACCAGATTTTATAGTGGAGAGAACAATAGGAAATGAAAACTATTAAAAATTTTTTTAATACAATTTTAGGATTTTCATATTAATTAAAAAAAAAAATAAAATAATAGAGAATATAGAGAATATATATATATATATATATATACCACTCACCGTGTCTGCTATTGTACGATAAGTTCTTCCCGTTTTTTCACGCTA